GCATCAGTTTGCATCTTAGCATACAATGATTAGCTATGTGACTTTGAGCAAGTTAATCTAACTGTAAGCATACTTCACTGCTTTAAAAGAGATAAAAATATTTACCTTAGAGTTGTTGAGGATTAAGTGAGATTATTTAGGTGAAATTATATTAAGACATGTAATAATCCCTCGGTAAATACTTGCTGCTGTTATTGGCTCTGAAAAGGGTTCTACTGGTTTCAGGAGTGTGTAGAATATATCTAAGGAACCTCAGAATATCCTGCCTTGGAGCAGCAACTCTTCCCCAAGAGCTCTCTGAGGAAGACTGGCTTAGTGAGCGCTTAATAAATGTTTTTGGATCAGTGAATAGGGCACCTTTGTTATTCTTATCAGCTGTCCAGCATCTGAACTGCCCTCTTATATTTCATCCATCCCAGTGAAACATTCCAGATAACCTCGCTCTCACTTCCTATGTCTAGGGCATAGGACATACTGTTAATGAGATCCACCTAACCCCGATTTTAAATCAGAAACTAGTGATTCAAAGGAGCCAGGAACACACAAGGTCCCTTCTGGTGAGGGTGGAACCCCTACATGCAGTTCCAGAGGCAGCATGCTGTGATGGTAGTGAGGCAGAAAATCAAGTTCCCTTTATTAGTAGAGCTAATTAGTAGTACCTGAAACCCTCATAAAAAGTTCTCTGACAGTTTGGTTGGCGTGGCTCAGTGGTTGAGCATCAACCTATGAACCAGGAGATCCGGTTTGATTCCTGGTTGGGGCACATGCCGGGGTTGTGGGTTCAATCCCCAGTGTGGGGCAAGCAGGAGGTAGCCGATCAATCAATGATTCTCTTTCATCATTGATGTTTCTATCTTTCTCTCTCTTTCCCTATGACTCCATTTAGCTAAAAACATATGTTCAATTATATATATGTATATATATATTTATAAAGTTCTCTGACAAAGATCCAACATGGTACTCAAGGTCAAAAAGTGATGAGGAAATGGGTCTGTCTCAGTCCCTAAACTCAAACTAAAATCTTACCAGCAGTAGAAAAGTAAAAAACTGGAGAGGGCATTAGGTGGGGGTAGCCTCCTCACACACAGAAGTGGCCCCAGCATCCTGACCAGTCCAAGATCCTGGAAAGAAGAAAGCAGAAGAGGGACCACAGTTCAAGGCAGACTTCATGAACAGCAACTTCACCCACTAGTAAATAGGGTGGTCCTTAGAATCTAATATGATTAGCCATTCTCCCTACCTCAGGGGGCTTGGAGGAGGAGCAAAGAGAAGTGAGGGAAGGAGCAGAGACCTTGAGTATTCGTTCCTAGAAATTTACAATAATTATTAATGAATGTCAATGTTTTACTCTAAGCCCGTGCTTTAAGCCAGTGCATTAAGGTGGTTTGGTAAAGGAACTCATTAGCACATAGGTGTTAACAGAACTTTTAGGAGGTGAGGACTAACATCTGGGACCTATCAACCAAATGCCCACTTCTGGAGAGTGACAAAGAGCAGAGGAGGAGAAAAATCAGGAGAGAGCAGGGTCAGGAAGGAAAGAATTCCAAAAAGGAAATGGTTATCAGTATCAAGCTGTGAAGGTTAACGTAAGGACTAAAATTTGGCAATTAGAAGTCACTGGCGAACCCAGCAAGAACAAGTTTAGTGGTGATGAGTGGAGTGGCCGGGCTTGCCCATCTGCACATTGCTTTAAAAGCCTGGAGCCTGTCCCCATCCCCACGTAACTGGGCTGATTCAGTTGGGGCGGGGCGGGGGGGGGGGGGGGGGGGGGGGTGATTAGGATTTTTAAAAAATCCCCCCAGGCCATACTAATGTGCAGCCAGGGTTAAAAACTACTGCTTCAGTGAATTGAGAATTTAGGGACAAAAGTACAAGTGAGGGCAGTACTTTAGTGATGGTCAAGGGGTTCAAAGAGTTAAGGAAGGGTATTTTTGTTTGAAGATGGAGTCTGAACATGTTTGAATGCAAAACTGTATGTGCCAGGAGTGAGCACTGTAACTAGATGGAGCGACAGAGGAGGGACCTAGGGCACTGCAGAAGGGATTCATCTTGAGCAGGGCAGGTGAGAGTGTATGTGAGGGGGTGTACGTGGGGACTCCTTTCTAACGCTCTGTTATCTGTAAAGGGAGCGATAGATGGGCTGCTGAGGTTGAGAGGAGGGGGTAGAAATTTTTTAAATGGCCACAGTTTGCAAAAGCTGCTGCTAACAGGTGGGAGGCTGAGTGAGCTAAATACTGAGAGCCATTCAAAATGTCAGCAAGGTTTTGGTGTGGTAGAAGCTTGCACAGTCATGACAATTTTTCATGGAGAAATACATGGCCCACTGGAAAGAGCAAGCTATAGAATCTACTCACAGTGAAATGGGTTGATTTAAGTCAAAGCCGCCACGCCATTCCTAAGTTCTCTGATATTCTCTTTCCTTTTTCAATTAAAAACATTAAATAAGAGAGCTGCAAGGGTCAGAACTCACTTCTAGAGAAAAACACATTTTCATAATTGATATCTTAACTATTTTATATTCCCACATCTTGATAATATGTAGTAAAAACATTTAAATGGTTTTCAAGATAGAAAAGGCAAATTATATGGTGCTTTAAAAGGCTATAAAAATTGAAATGTAAACAGCCTACACATGTATATTAATCATGGTTTTTAATTTTCTATGAATTATGTCATCTTGACACCTTAAGAAACCTTTCTGGCTGGGGAGAGACTGCTTCTCCTAGGGCTAGCTAATTCTTAGAAAGAGCAAAGGATTCAGCCAGCAGCACACTTTTGAAGTACAAACTTACCAGGGATGACGGAGCCATGCCTCCTCCATTTGACTCGCACACCCCAGGAAGCAAACATCCCAAGGGAGCTATGAGGCAACTAGAGACCATTCTGTAGCCCAAAGGACCCCAATTACCCAAACTAGCCATTCCTGAGCTGTCTGCCCTCTCTGCCTTGCCTTTCAGGAGGAAATCCCCATAAAGGCTCTGGCCTACACCTATCATTTGCTCCTGGTCACCTGCTTCCTGTTCCAAATGTGGTGTTTGTCCTGCAGCCTGGCATGGCAAGTTGTGCATTGTTTCTAGGTAAACTATAACATTAAACTTTTCTTTCAATGGCATTGACCTCTACATGTCCTCACTCAAGTTACCTTTATAAACTTTTAAAAAATTATTTCAGAGAGGGAAGGAGATAGAAGTATCAATGATGAGAATCATTAATCAGCTGCCTCCTGCACACCCCCCACTGGGGATCAAGCCCACAACCCGGGGAGGTGCCCCAACCAGGAATCAATCCATGACCTTCTGGCTCATAGGCCAATGCTCAACCACTGAGCCACGCCAGCCGGGCAGTCACCTTTATAAATTAAGACCTGGGCACAGAGCCACATGAGCATCCAAGGCAATGAGACTAGACTCCTCCTCCTCCTTAGATACACATATCCCCCAAGAGAACTTGGGTTCGTAAACTTTAGTAGTCAATTAGGGCCCAGCCCAATTCATACAAATCTAAAGGGGAAAAAAAGGTCATTTCAAAACTTTTAAGATTAAAGTTCTGTATTCTGAAACACTGAACCCATGAGTCAGACAATCTATATATAATGTGCTGGTGGTCCTCAACCCCTGTAGATGCACTACTTGAAATGTAAGACAATAGGATGTGATTATGTGGGATAACTGAAAATTGATTTTTACATGTTGTGAATACTGGGATTAAGTCCTAGCAAAAGATTACCGATAACTCAACAGGTATTTACTACAAAAGCTATGTCCTCAGGGTGGTTTTTCTTCCAACTTCTTTTCTGTTTGTTTCACATTTGTGAGTCATGCTTTAAAGGCTTCAGCACTGTGACGCTGGAAAACACGTAACATTTTCCCATGAAACTAAGAGACAATGAACAAGAATCGTAGTCATGAATGGCAGTATCTTACACAAATGTTTTACTGTTGTGAAAAATGACTCTCACTCACAGACTAAAAATTCATGGTTATATTTTAATCCACTTATATTTTAAAACATTGTTTCCATCCATCTAAATTTGACCTTGATGGCATTTTTCTCCACATTATCCTTTCTCAATATTTCCAGGTGATTTTTCAGGAGCTTGAGGGAAAGGGTATGGGAAAAAAGACATTAACAGCGGCTGCAAAATATCACACACAAAAAATTTCATTAATTTTTAAATCCTCACCTGAGGATCGTTTCTGTTATTGATTTTAGGGAGAGAGAAACATTAATTGGTTGCCTCCTGTACATGCCCCAACCAGGGATCGAACCCTCAACCTGGGTATGATGTTTTGACATCTTAAGAAACCTTTCTGGCTGGGGAGAGACTGCTCCTGCCAGGGCTAGCCAATTCTTAGAACTAGGACTGATTTCTAAAGAGTTTTGATGCCCTGACCCGGAAACAAACCCGCCACCTTTTGGTCTACAGTACAACACTCCAAAAAACTGAACCAGCCGGCCAGGGCAACCTCTCTCTTCTTATGGAGAGTAATATAAGAATACCTCAGAGCTCAGGAGTTTACCAGTATATTAAATTTTTAACTGGCAAATCGTGTGGCTCTCAAACACCAACCTGCACCAGAGTCCTCTGGAGAGCTTGTGAAAGGTTGCTGTTCCCAGCCTGTTTCAAATTTAGTGGGTCTAGGGAGACTGAGCTGATACTGTTGGTCCAGGCAGGCCAGCACACTACCGTAAGCACCTACCCCGCTTCCCCTCGCCTTCTCACTTCGGACCTTGCCCAGACTGCTCCACGGTGAACATCCTCAGGACATGCCCACTCTTCAATACTGCGCTTTAAGTTTTGTTTTTTTTATCCCCAAATTTGGCAATTTTACCAAGTGCCTGTCTATAGATAGTGGCAGGAAATTTTCTTTAGTCACGTTTGTTTTGCTGGGCTTGTTAAAAACCTTATAATCCACACTTTTGAGCAATATCACTCCTTTTCCTTGGTACTGTTCAATGCTGCTGCTCCCAGGCATTTGACATTCATCTGTTGTGATCTTAACATAAGCAAAAGCATCTCTGGGCCACTGTGTGTTGGTGCTAATAGAGGAAACCACCACTTTCCTCACCTCTTCCCTCTTTACCAGTGTCTCATTGGGTAGGATCCCCTCTTGATTGCTGCCACCATTAGTAACTCCACTGTCAAGACTGGAGTGGGAGATAAGGAAATACTGACAAGTAAAATGGACAGCTCGAGCATTAGCAAAGGAAGCAGCTGACAGCAAGCGCAAACCGCTTCTATCATCCCTCCTGCCATCCCTGAACCATGACACAGGTCCTGCAAGCCATGCTCCTAACTAGACTACATTCATAGCTGCCGGTTAAGCCACGCTGCTCTCATCCCAGCCCAGACAGAGCTCACCAGACACAGAATACTGACGATGGCCCCTAATGCTGTTTCTACAAAGCCCAGGGAACAAAACACATATGGCTCAGAAGCACGTCAACAGTGCCAGCGCCGGCCTAGCTCCCTTCTCCGAGCGACTTCTGTGATAACTGCCCCTTTCCTTTGCAGCGTCAGACTCCCACGGCTGTGGTCTCAATTGTGTTTCTGAAAGTAAAATGCAAAGATGTGTCAGATTAATCTAATCTACTTGGGACTCATAAAGAATTTCATTCCCTGTTCTATGTGTGGAGTTTTAGTTACCAAAGATGCCATAAGCAGCACAGGTTAGATTTATTTAAGCTTTTGGTCATTTTGCTGCCTACCTGGCCTTGTTTGCAGCCTGTTTCACAACCCAGCAAAACAATGCATTTGATTTCTAAAGAATTCAAGTTAAAAGCACATACCTCAAATAGCATAATCTGTCCCCAAATTTGGCACCATTTAATCTGCTACTAATTTCCTCTTCTGAACAGTTCTCATCAAAAAGCAACAAGAATTGTGATGCAAATAAAGCTGTTCCCTTTAAAATACTGCATCTGAAAAATAATCTTAAATTCCCTTAAACTCATAAGCAAAACTAACTTTTATGAATGACAGTAGATGATGTCTTGAGTTCTGCCTATTTGGAAAACACACAGGATTAGGATTCAGACAGGCAGATGTGTAGACAGTTGGGACAATCCAGAACCCTGAAATAAGAACATGGAACTCAGCCTGTTATTACTTTCAAGCAGATAAAATACATATAAGCTCAAGGATTAACCTCAAAGGAATTATTTTTTAACATACTACAAAACCTGATTTTGAAATTATATATTTTGTTAAAAGCTAACAGACTTTTCTTAATTTATGACATTACATAGTTTGCTATATAAAAAAGACTTAAAATTTAAGGTTCAAAATAACTCGTTTCTAAGGTTCCTCTGAAATTGACTCATACAGAAAACCAGCAGATAAGTTAGTAATTCTGTAAGCAGGCTCATGCAGCTGCTTACAAGAACACAATTTAAAAACTTGTGTTGCAAAGTACTAATGTGCTTAATTGCTATTTTCTTAGGCAATTAATTTTCTTCCCCAATTATTATAGGTAGATATGACATATTTTGGTGATCCCTGTTGAAGGTATTTGAAATATGTAGAAAAGCATGCCCAAGAAAGATGATAAACATTCAGGGCATACTGTTTCCTCTCTCTCTACTATATTATTATTAATATTTTTGGTGGAAACAGAATTTATTGAGGGATAAAAGAACTGCCCGCCACAGGGAGACAGCAGGCAGGGGGAACCAAGTGGGCTACCCCATCACATACTGTTTCAAAAACATGGGTCTCAGAGCGACTCAGATCTCTCAATGACAAACAAGAGATTAAAACCCAGGGCAGAGAAAGTCTGAAAGTCTGGGATTTTAATACTGGCTTGATTATATAATTTTGAGCAAATCACTAAACTGTGATTGCTCTTGTCTCTGTAAAATGGCAGCAGTCACCTACCTTTACATCATAGAGATGTTTAAAATATAAAGTTGTATATATGTTACTTTTTAATTACAGGTAGAAAGGAGAACTGCCAGACAATATGCCATGAAGAAAAGATTCGACCTGAATGGAGGTCTTACTAGGCTATGCTCACAGGACCAATCTCTGCATGAGCCACAAAGCTTAGTGCAAAGAAAATGAAATTATGTCCAAGGATTTCTCCCTCAAATCCAAAAAAGTGTGTTAGAAGTGTGTGCCTCGGGACACTATGGGGACAACTAGGTAAGAATGCACCTATGACAGTAAGACCCACTTTCACCACTAAACAATTCAGTCGTGCTATATTGTATTCAACAGACATTCCACCTTCTCCATGGCTGGGGTGCAGCCTGCAGGGGGCAGTACACTCCCCACCACATGAGAACAGGGATGCTGCTTTGGCTTCAGCACTGCTCCTCACCCCACCATCTCCATGTACCCTCCCTCCACCCTATTCCTTGTTAGGGACAATTGACATGGTCTCAGTCTTACATAAAGTGCCACATAAACTTAGCTTAAGTCCCCTCCTCACCTAGACTCACACCAACCCCTCAGATGAGGAAATCCTGGAGCTACCACTGACAAGAGCTGTAATTTTTAGGGGGAACACGATAAAGCGGCCTGCCATCATATTCAGTGAGCAAGCTCTGTCCCACTCAGCACCTAATGAAGCACAGAAAAGTCCAGGTGCAAGAGCGGGCATCCCCTAGAACAGTGCCAGAGCAGTGGGCACTTAGAGACCAGTGTCTGCATATTTCAGAGTAAATGTACTAAATTTGTAAAAAGCAAGAACCCTTCTATCAACCAGGGCCCTGAATGCAAGATGCTGGGTAATCTTTTCTTTAGAAAGGGTGGCTTCCTCCAGCAGCTCTAGGCAGTCACTTATTCCTCATCTTGACAAAAGAGCATCAACTTCAGGCATGGATGTGTACATAACTCTACAGGCAGCTCAGCTGTCATACACATGGCAAATATAAAGCCATGTCAAAAGACATTTTTCCTCCCCAAAGTATAACCCCAAGAAGCCATTATTATAATAGAGTATGAATATCTGCTGCAGGTTATTGACCTGTAAACTAACAATAAAATCCCGTTTAGTATGTAAAGGCTTACACTGCAACATGAAGTATTGAGACACAAACCACTGACTATTCTAAGTTTGCTGTACAGTTGAACCATTTTCATTACCTCAATCTGTGTGTGTGTGCGCGCGCATGTGTGTGTGTGTGTGTGTGTGTGTGTGTGTGTGTGTAAAATGTCCTCTTTCCATAGAACACCAACTTTGGAGATGAGGCAAAGTACAAAGCAGCTGCTGGTGATCCCATGGGCATCTAGGAGACTGGAAGGAGTCCCCAAGGCCCTGCTGCTGGTGTTGCTTCTGAGGCTCTAAACTGAGACCTTGGTGGATTTATCTGATTGGCACTGTGAGTAAAGCAAGGCCAGGCTGAAAGGCAAGCCTTACCTACTGCAAGCACAATTCCACACACACATCTTAACTCAGTGTTTAAATTTGACTGGAACTGCCTGCAAATTGGGAACTTCCTCAAGTGATATTAAAAGCTCTACACAAGAAGTATGCAAAGAAGTTACTAGTTGTTCAAGAAAAAAAAAAGACACACCTGCAAAAAAGCAACAGCTCTGTAAATGGAGCTGTAGGTAACTGCTGAGACAGCAATAGCAATGACAAATATAGCATAGGATGACTTTTTAAAACAACTGCTGCCCCAATACTTTACTTTTTAAAAAAGACACACATTTCCACAATATGATTTTCTAAGAGAAAGAGTCCACTGCTTTGTTTGAAGAGGAAGGAGACAGTCCTAGTGATAAACAGACTGGGAATATCAATTGAAATATGCAAGACTATATAACACAAAATCTAATATTTGTTTCACAACACCCGCTGGCTCCTGGTGGGCGAACTACTGCTCTCTAGCTGCATCCAGGGCTCTTTTCTTGTGGCATCTTAAAAAATGTGGCTGTAGCTGAATCAGCGGCTTTCTCTGGGGCAGAGGTCCTGACCAGCCACTCAGTGTTGGGAGATTTCGGGGCCTGTGGCGCTGGTGTGGTTGGCTCCATCACATCCACAGGAACTGATGAGATTGCTACAGTAAAAGGAAAAAGAAAAAATCCAGGGGAGACAAATTAGAATGAACGTTACTTCAACCCAAAATATTCTTAATCCTTTTATCTTATGCCCTACTAACCCAAGTGGCCACATAAGGTTTTTCTTTTTTCTTTACAAAGAAATAAAGGCCAGATGTAACAAAGGTAAGTATTTCTCTACCTGAAAAAATGGGTTTAAATGAACAAGTAAGCAAATTCAGTAATACAAATTCATAATGTAGCAACTATCACTTCTTAAGCACTTATGTGCTAGGCACTGTATTATGTAAACACTGCATTCATATCTCATTTCTTGCAAACTCTTAGAAGTAGGTATTGTCATCTCCATTTTCTGGATCAAAAAATGAGCCATACAGAGAACAGATACATTTTTCAGGGACAAAACAGAGCTGGTTAAGTAGCAAGATTCAAACTCAGTGGACTCTAAGCCCTATGTTCCTTCTGTCACACTCCATGACAATGTCACCAAAAAACAGTGTGATAATAAGGAAAATGGTAGAAAATCACACAATCGGGCCCAGTTTTTCAACAAGAACACAAACACATTCTAGACAGAATAATAATTGCTTATGCAGGACTGTCCTGTATATTTTAGGACACTTACCATTCTGACCCCATCTACTGAATGCCAAAAGCACTCCCTGGTCCCTGTGACAAGTAAACACTGTCTTCACATTTCCAAATGCCCCCAAGCAGAGTAAACCACCCTCACACCCACTGTGCCAATGGTGAATATACACTAACAAAAAGCAAAATGTAGAAAGTTCCATTTTTACCCTATCACTCAGTAACTCCACTCCTGGAATATAACCTAGAACAGTAATTTTCAAATTGTGGTCACAAGATCAACTTAGTAGGTCATGACCAGTACTTCTTAATGAAAAGGAATAAAAAATATCAGATTGTATCCAAGGATTTATATATAGACTAGAGGCCCGACGCATGAAAATTGTGCAAGGGGCTCAGCCCTCGCAGCCCTGGTTTCGTCTGGAAGGTCATCCAGAAGATCATTTGGTTGTCCAGTCTTAACATATTACGCTTTTATTATTATACTAGTAGCCCATAGCGCAGTATAGCGCACAGTAAGCCGCCCACTGCTCTGCGGGAGCCCGCGGGAACTGCAGCGCACCACTGGGAGCCACGCTGCTTCCATGGGAGCTGTGCAGCTTCTGCAGGAGGCGGAGGCTAGCCGCCAGCACCCACGGGAACAGGGAGGGAGCCGCGCTGCTTCCCCACAAGGTGGGCCTGCCATCTCCTCTCCAGGCCTGCACTCGGCCGTGGAGGCTGCAGGCCGGCCCCCCTGTCCCTGTCCCTGTCCGTGTCCGTATCCGCTCCAGCTCCGGGGGGCCAGCCCAAGCCAGGGTGCGGCAGCTCAGTGGCCCCGTGTCTGTCTCCACTCTGGGCCTCACCTACACGCACAACCTCCTCCTGTCTGGTCGTGACCCCTTACGGCGTCCTGGCCTAATTTGCTTATTTCCTCTTTTTAATATACTAGTGACCCCATCGTGTGAGACCCGGACAGGCGGGAAATCGCACAAGACCCAGGACCCCAGACCCTGCCGCAGGACCCAGAGTCAAGTCCCGCAGCATATGGGACCCAGAGTCCAGTCCCCACCCACCCGCGTGCACCTCGATATATATATATATATATATATATGCCCACATATATACTCAAACATGAATTTCTTACAGGGAGTTACTGTAAAAATAATCATGCAAGCTATTACTCTACGGCACATGTACAAGAGTTTCTTGAGGGCCATGGTTTTCAATGTTTAGGAATCTCAGATCACATCAGCAAGAAATACATTTGACATCACAACACAAATCAATCAATCCAATCTTTCTCTCTCTCCTGTTCACACACACACTCACTCACTCATTTAACTGAAATTTCACAAACCTATATTTACCATTACTCTATAGTCATTAACCACAGTGCAAAACCCTACCCTAGAAAAACTTTTCTTTGCTATATGGTTTTTATTATGGCAAAATATATGTAACATAAAATTTATCATTTTAATAATTTTTAAGCATACAGTTCAGTGACATTAAGTACATTTACATTATTTCACAACCATCACCACCATCCATCTCCAGAACTTTTTCATCATCCTAAATGAGAACTCTCCATTTTCCCCTCTCCCAGCCCCTGGCAACTACCATTCTACTTCCTGTTCCCATAAATTGACTAGTCTAGGCACCTCACATAACTGGAATCATATAATATTTGTCCTTTTGTGTCTGGCTTATTTCACTTAGTGTAATGTCTTCATCCAAGCTGCAGCATGGATCAGAATTTCATTATGAATCACAAAGGCACTCAGGCTGAATAGTATTCCATTGTATACAGAATATACCACATTTTGCTTATTTATTCATCCAGCAATGAACATTTGAGTTGTTTCCACCTTTTGGTTATTGTGAATAATGCTGTTAGTACTCGAGTGTACAGATAGCTATCTGTTTGAATACTTTCAATTCTTTCAGGTATATACACAGAAGCAGAATTGCTAGATCATATGTTAGTTTTATGTTTAGGGTTTTTTTTTTTTTAACAGTACAGAGGTCTTTTATTTTTTTGCACTTGTCATGCCTTGAATTCATAGGGGATGGGTCCCAGCAGCTCAGGCTCCTTTCCACTGGTTCTCACAAAGTTCTTCTCTGGGTGGAGCAGGCTGGCGCTTCAGCTGAACCCAGGAACCTTTCACTTTGGCTTCCTTCTTTTTCTGATCATTTTCCTTCACACATTTCAGAAAGCTATCTCAGCTTTTAGAGTGCTTTATATGCTCAATATGTACATTAATTCTCTGGGCAAGAATCTTGCCCTTGTTTGTTTACAACAATGCCCACCACAGGCTGGGTAACTGTAGACTCCTCCAGTTTTGCCACGGTAACATTTGTGAGACATTCCTTTTTGAACAGTGCCCATTCCTTTGATGTCTGCAATGTCTCCTTTCTTGTAGATTCACCTGTATGAGGCCAGAGGAACAGCTCCATGTTTTCTAAAAGGCCTAGAGAACCTATAGCGGGTGCCTCTCCTCTTCCCCTTTGTTAGTCATTTTAGTGAATTATTGGAAGACTAGTGACCCAGTGCACGGATTAGTGCACATTAAAAGGAAATTAATTAGAAGGTGGCCCGCGGGGTGAGCCTGGGCGAGAAGGGCCAGACATGCCCTGGAGCCAACCTCCCGGGTCCTCCCTGGCATCTGCAGAGTGAGCAGGGTCCCTCCGGCAGGTGGGGTCCCTTGGCCTGGCCTGCGGGGATCGGGCTGAAACGGCTCTCTGACATCTCCCGAGGGGTCCCGGAGTGCGAGAGGGCACTCTGCAACGTTGCTGTGGTACGGGGTGTGGAATGCAAACGCAACTGTGCAGTAAACCAGATTCGGGCCGACAGTGCCCCAGCAACAACATAACCCACGGCTGAAGGTGGAATCACACAGCCCCGAGAGGATTCGGGGTCCCTCCTCTCTGGTTTCAGGGTGCGTCACCCAAGAACTGCCGCTGCCAAGTCACTGCAGCTCAGCAGCTCCTGTGTTGAGTGTCTGCCCCCTGGTGGTCAGTGCATGTCATAGCGACCGGTCGGACGCTTAGCATATTAGCTTTTTATATAGAGAGGTGGTAGTTCTGACCAAAAAGGTTATGTTTAGATTTTTGAGGAACCACCATATTATTTTCCTTAGCCACTGCACTATTTTACATTCCCATCAGTAATCACAAAGGGATTACTTGCTGTTCCTGTTTTGTTTTGTTTTTTATATAGCCATTCTAAGGAGTATGAAGTAGCCCAGAAAAAAACTCTTGCACATGTTCTCTCACACAGCAACAGTGTTTTTCACAATAGCATAAAATGGATACAATCTAAATGTCCATCAAGAATGTTTAATTGTAGTATATTCATCATATTCATATAACAGAATACCATATATATGGCACAGTGAAACATGAATGAATCTCAAGAACATAATTGGGTAAAACATAACTTATAAAATATGACATTCCATTTAAAAAAAGATTTACAAACACGCAAAACTAGATAATGTATTACTTAGGGATACATACATCTTAAAACTAACTTAAAAATCAAAGAATGATTAAGTGATTAACAAAAAAATAAACAACAGGATAATGGTTACCTCTGAGGAGAGTAAAAAAAGATTTTTAAAGGGGATGTTCTTTTTTTTAAAGTCGATGGTGGGTACATGGATATTTGCTATATCATTTTTCTTTACTCCTTATATATCTTCTATAAGTGCTCTTTTATAGCCAATCAATATTTTCTAAAAAAAAATTTTTAACTTTAAAAACCATTTAAACTTTAAAAAGGCATAGTGAGCAGTAAGAATCTGTCCTATGGCTCCCAACACAAGAGTGAACCTAAAATAAAACTACTGAATCCAATCACTTGATTAGCATAATATTGAGAATAACTATTTCAACTAATAGATTCTGTTCACATATTCATACAACAAATATCTAGTGAGATTGTTCCATGTGCTGAGTATTACTTTAGAGGGTGGGGGTACAATAGCAGCAAAACATAAAAATGCCTGCCCTTGCACCTACATCTCCCACAACGCTGGCCTGATATTCAGAATCTGATGTAACTAACAGGTTAACTATTGGTTACCCTTCTGACTAATGCTCCAAGGACACTCATCCTATCCCAGAGACACAAAAGTCAGAACAGGCTTTGGGATGGCAAAATAGTCAGGGCTCTGAATACAACATCTTGTCATCCTGTTCTCCTTTACCTAGAGCCATGTGCTTACTTTGTGAAGGTATGGGATTTGTACACCAAAGGCTCTGTTCTGCCATTCTGATGAAGAAAATCATTTCGAGGAAATGAAGTCTGGTTTTTATCTGACTTCCTTATGTTTTTTATAGCTACTTAATCTCAAGTTTTAGAGAAAATAACCAATTTTTTCTTTTCCAGTTATATTCTCTTTGTTTGTTAATCCTTACCCAAGGATAGTTTTCCATTGATTTTTTTTTTAGAGAAAGTGGGAGGGGGAGAGACACAGAGAGAGAAATATCAATGTAAGAGAGACACATCACTTGGTTGCCTCCCACATGTGCCCCGACCAAGGTCAGGGATTGAGCCTGCAAAAGAGGTACATGCCTTTGAATGGAATTGAACCTGGGGCCCTTCAGTCTGCAGGCCAACTTTCTATCCACTGAGCCAAACTGGCGAGGGCTCAGTTACATTCTTTAAGAGAATATATAGCAAATTCACTTTGGCATGAGGTAATGACATGTTGGGTATTTCCTGTTCTGGTGTTCTGGGCGTTACAAGCACGTTTATACGGTCACTCACTCAGATCCATGGTGGCTCTGTGCACCACGCACCTGTGGTTATAAAGCCAGAAAGAGAAAGGGAGTGGACACTAAAAGAGTAAAATAAAAGTGCTACACTTTCAAGAAGGATCTACTCAATGATCCTATGATCATTTCCTTGGCCTTTTGTTAATACTAGTACAAAAAGGCAAGGCATGCTAGTCCTTTCTGCTCTGCACCTCTCTAGCCTTATTAATATCTTTAAATTCAGTCAATTTCAACTCAAAACTTCCCACCAGTGGGGGAGGGGAAATGGGGCAAGATTTGTGGCTGCATGTTTAAGAAAGAAGCTGAATTCATCACAGTGACAGGGGAGACTGTTGGCAGATATCTGAGCTATTTATTCTTTTAGGAAAATCCTATAAAGAATGACACAAGGAAGCCTCTATCTGCAGTCTTGTTCATCACACTGGTGAAGAATCCGATAACAGATGTATGCAGCAGCGTGATTTAGTGCCAGGAGCTGGCCCCTGATGTGTATTAATACAGCGGCAAAGCGGAACGCACCTCTCTTCATCAGTCATTTCTATAAAAGAGGTGGAATCCGAGATGGCCCAATGTTAGGCAGAGCAAGCCCATTTGTTCTACTGACTGATGGCGCGGGCTCGGGCTATGTCCTTCACCTCCATGGGGCACTCAGGTTGTGGATAGAAAAAAAAGAAAATGTTCAGTGAAGCAAGCCTTAGTCAACAAGTGAGGGGAGGAGTTTGGATCAGTGAGGGAAATTTTTAATGCTCAAATCTTGTTTAATACCTCCCAGAAAATTTCCCAATTTGATTACAGAATAAGGATTTTAAACTTTTCTCAATGTTTTCTTATAAACAATTAAAAGCAAAAAAACAGAAGCTGGACATTAAAGAGAAAAAAAAAGAACAAAAAGATAAAAGAGGGGAGACTGTGTTTTAATGCTTCCAGTACCACAGACTGGATGAAGACCTGGGTTTTGAGCAGAGTCATAATTTGGAGCCAATCCTATCCTATGGAAGACCTAAAAGTGCAGCCCTAGAGTCACAGGGAAACCAGTCTGACCTTGGCTCTGCAATGTGCCAACCATGTGACCTTGGGGAACTGATTAACCTCTCTATAGCTCAAATATCTCATGTGTATTGGGAATAAAAACAGCATCCACCTTATAAAGTTGTTGCAAATATTAAGTGAGATAATGTATGCAAAGGGTTTAGCTTAAGACATGGCTATGTGGAAATCAATAAAAAAAATGTACTATAATCATTAGACCTGTGATTAAGATTATCCATTATCATGATAATCTTAGTCTAAACCATATCAAGCAGTCTTCTCAAACAGAAGCTGCCGGTTTGGCTCAGTGGATAAAGCCTCGGCCTGCGGACCAAAGGGTCCCAGGTTCGATTCTAGTCAAGGTCACATACCTTGGTTATAGGCTCCTCCCCAGCCCGGGCCCTGGTCAGGCCTCGGGCAAGAGGCAACCAACTGATGTGTTTCTCTCACATCGATGCTTCTCTCTGTCTTTCCTTCTCTTCCATTCTCTCTAAAAGATCAATGGAGAAATATCCTCGGGTGAGGATTAATAACAACAAAACAAAACAAAAACGTCAAACAGAAGCTTGAAGAGGTCAATCTCAGAGCATGCTGAAATTTACTAAGTTAGGTTAGGGGAAAGACTTACCCATCTGTCAAAGTTCTACTCTCTATTCAACTATCAATAGCTCTGCTTTATGTACAATATACATAAATATGTATTTCATTATAATATATAGTCTTTTCTGAAGAAAATAAAATAGTTTATGATATACTCAATTTCCACAAAACAAATTCATTATCATCAAGAAAAGAACTGTAGGTGGTTACCAGAGAAGGGGACTGGGGAGAGGGGAAAAGGGGAGGGAGCCAACTATATGGTGATAGATAATAACTAGACTTTTTTGGTGTGGACACTTTATATTGTAGATAGATATCGAATTATAATATTGTACACCCGAAACTTACATAATAAAAAGACAGAAACAAAAACAAAAGAAGTGTAGATATTTCTGATAGGTCCTTAACCAGATATGATCTTTTTATTCAGAGTAATTTATCCTAAATTGTATAGAAATAACCTAAAGGATTGTCTATGATTACTAATTACATTTAACTATTTTCTCTGAACTCCAAAGAAAAAGATCGATAGACATCCAATATTCTTGCTGATATAAATAACTATCCCCCTTTGTTTTCATTTAAGGATAACATAGATGAAGTTAAGTGCATAAATCATAAATGTATGTAGTTCAGTGAATCTTTACATATAAATATACTCATGTAATCCCCACCTAGTTCATAATATAGAACATTTCCAGCATCCATGAGATTTTTTATGTCTTCTCCTGGTCACCAGTGAAAACCACTATTTTGGTTTCTACCAACTAGTTTTGCTCAGAAAATGAAGTTTTTAACTTGAAAAGCTGTTTTTAATTAGGAATTTCATGATAGGTAAAATATTAGCACTCTATTATACATAAAAATAGTGAGAATGTACTGTACTATGTACTAAATTAAAAAGTAAATAAACCCATGTGGCTCCATGTCTACTGACTAAACTGCCACCCTACTGGGATTTTCATTAACAAAGATCTAATTTCTTATCTGTAATAGAAAAAAAGCGCAGATGACTGAAGATTTTTTTTAGTGAAATACAGGTAGTACAAACTTAAGAAACCCGTGTGACACAGTGAAAAAACAGACTTCAGGGTCAGACAGAACTAGGTTTAAATTCTTAAAATATGTGTAACCTTGGGAAATTACTTCTTTTTTTTAATACATTTTATTGATTTTTTACAGAAAAGACGAGAGAGAGTCAGAAACATCGATGAGAGAGAAACATCGATCAGCTGCCTCCTGTACATCTCATACTGGGGATGTGCCCGCAACCCAAGTACATGCCCTTGACCAGAATCGAACCTGGGACCTTTCAGTCCGTAGGCCGACGCTCTATCCACTGAGCCAAACCGGTTTCGGAAGGAAATTACTTCTTGCATTCTCTTTTTTCCCACATATAATGGGAATAAAATGACCTACCTCATCATAAAAGTTAAGTGGAAGGGTATATAAAACACATAATTCAGTGTCAGGTGCTCAACAATAATAACTAGGGTCTAATTACCTGCATTTGGGCTAGACAGAGATGCTGTGGCCACAGGCTTTCGTTTCCTCTTGATATCACGTGAGCATGGGGGTCCCAAGTGTAGGCTTGCCTGTCTGCAAAGGTAACAAAGAAAACATACTGTTTCAACTTTATAATTCTCATTGTTTAAGACACTATGTTCAACCCAGATAAAATCCTTGACCCAATATAGATATACTAACAAAATCAGCATCATCTTTTGCCATCAAGTGTCAGTATAAGATCATTCACAATTAATCAGAATTCACTCTTTACTCACAAAATACACCCATTCTAAACTTTTTACCTGATTAGCAAAATAGCAGACATTCAAGATTAATTTCAGTAAATATGTGTTTCATTACATGCTGATTTTTGTACATTTTTCATAAAAACAATAAACCTCAATTGTTCTAAACTCACTAATGAAATACCTACTCCCAAGTGGTAACATATTGAAAAGTTTAATGCTGCATGAACACAGACATTTGCATAGAATTATAATAGGAAGTTTAACCCTTCTATCACTATACATCCATATTTTTAATAATGTCTGCATAGCAAGTTGTTTCTGTGATTTTAAAAAATATAAATTATGTGCTAATAATATGTCCCCTTTCCGAATGTTCAGCTTATTTTAAAAACAAAATAGTGAGAACTTCAACATTAGAAAAGCAAAAGACTCTCTGCAAGACAATGGGCTATTTTAGTTCCCCACTTCCTCCTTCCTCTCAAACTAGATGGATAGTATGTGATTCAGACCAAGCTGAGTTCCATCTTTACACAAAGCTTTCCTTGAGCATTCAAGGCCTTGCCTACCATGAATTATTATTTAACTGCTGTACATGTATCTTGTTTCCCTAATGAGGCTTAATCTTCTTGAGAACAGGGACCATATTTGTGTTTCTTTCATAATTTTCAAATGTTATACCAACCTCAGAAGGCACACAGCTGATCCCCATTAAGTATCTGTTGACTAGATCTGATATGAATGAATAAAAGTTCTAAAAACCAATAGCCAATTGTACATTTAAAATGGTAAATTTTGTTATGCATATTTTATCACAATTTTTTTAAAATAGCCAGAATATGTAACATATAAAAAGAAATCCAGTAAAATTATACTGGATGAACTCCCTATTGGTAGTCCTAGCTGGGGATCAAGTCTCATGGCTTGGTAGTCTTAAAACTGGAATCTCAGTCAAATCTAAGAGAACCTGGTTAGTAAGGCAACAACTGTTGAATGGACAAATTTTCCTATGGGGGAAGGGGGGTTGCCAATCTGGCAACTTTCAGTTTAAAAGTACATATATGTATGTGCTCTCGCTCCCTCCCTCCCTTCCTCCCTTCTTCTCTCCCTCTTTCTCTTTCTCACATGCTCTTTTCTCCAAATAGCAAAAGCTTAAGACCATCCAATTTATAAGCAAGAAAGATAAAAATTTGACTGAAATCATAAGAAATTTTTTAGAATGCAAGGAAAACCAAAATAGACAAAGATTTACACTAGAAAGCCTGTGGTTTGGCGAAGTCCATCCAAATCACTTTTTATTGATCACTCTCGTCTATATGGGAAAAAGAGTTAACTTTAGATTAAGTATCCCATGAGTAGTTAATTCCAAAATTCCAACGTGAAATGTGTCAATATAAGTGTGTAAAGAAGGGGAAACAATTCATCTTTCATACCTTACATAAGTCCCGGAAGTAAGTTTAAATCAGCATGCTGATTTAATAAGAAACACAGACGACAGAATATCAAAAGTAAACAGGCCTTTAGTCTAAATGCAGAGATGGTATGGTAATTCCTTTTGAAGCCAGGTAAGAGCAGAAAAGAAACTGATGCTATAAAATTTGTTTCTCCTCAAAACAGAGAAATGTACGGAATAGTTTCCATCTTTTCTACAGACAAGGTAGTTTAGCAAATTCAGACCCAAACTCAAACTGCCCAGGCACTTCGTTCTAATTCAATCCTGCTTCTCCTAACGTATTCAGAAAGAGTAACAAGTCAAAGGGTAACAGTTCATATTCACGCACTTTCTTCTTTACCAGAAGCTTATTCAAGGACTCTCCAAAACTTCTTAGATTAAATGTAACACCATTTCTTCAAACTAAAGATTGTTATTAGACATCAGGACAGTGGTACTTTTGAGCTGCAGGGTGTGGGGAAGAGAGTCAGTGGCTAGGAGCTTCTGGGGTTTTCTCGTAATGTTCTGTTTCTAGATGTTGAAAATTCATCAAGTATATATTTCTTTATAAAATTCTCTATATGTACATTGTTCTTCAATTAATTTTGAAAAACATTGCTTCTTCAAGATCAATGTTTATAAAATACTGGGCTTTAGGAAATAGATGCAAAATAAAAAGCCTAAGAAAAGTACTTCAAGGGCTTTAAGATTTTAATTCTCAGAGTATCAACTTGGGCTGAACTAAATAAATACTGCCTTTTATTTACACACTATTCATCATTTTCACAGTTTTGCATATTTGATATATGTCAGTAAGATGGTTAAGGGCACCTATTATATCACCACTCCTTATGGCCTTGGTCAATATCATTTATCTCACTTTTTCAAGGAATGACACATTTTGGAGTAAAAAGATAAAACTATTTATGTACCAATGTTTAAATTTTTGACCATTTTAAATAGAAATACTGTGGTTTTAAAAGATACTTATTTAAGTATGAAAATAAGTATTACCTGCAACTATGCACATAGGTTATTAAACGGCACTATATTCTGCAATGTCTTTAGGGGACTGCTGTGAACACAAAGGCTCAGGTGGTCCTTATGATGCCCTGTCCCTTTGGGCCACGGTTCTTGGATCCCCACTCTTCCCTGCTTATTGATGGTATAGACTTCAGGGTTAATTGTCCTACTTTAAATGCCCCCCAACTGCTAAGCCTCCAGCCTGTTACTTTTCTCTGTGGTAAATGTTCTACTTCTACCACCTCATTCCTAGTTAAGTTCTGGGGAGGGAGGAAAAGAAACCGTCAAATTATTATAAAAGGACAGTAAGACACTGTCCTTGTTTTGGGTTTCAAGTGGACTCTAGTCATGGGAAAATCTACATTTCCCTGTGAGGGCTCTGTCTGCTTGGAAAAAACCTTAGAGGACTAAGAAGTAAGAGAACCCAGAGCAAGCCCGGGGAAAGCAAGGAGGAAGCTGGATGCTTGCAGCAAGAGGATTTAAAGGAGACAGGACATGGAACCCGCCACGCTGCAGAGCACACTCAGAACACAAGACAGCCCTGGTCAGGAATAATGAATAATCTATGTGAGGCTGGAACCTGAGCATGAGGCAGGAAACTGCTGCAGCCTCAGCTTCCTATTCAAGAGGTAGTTTCCATTTTTTGTTTATCCCAAAATAATTGCCAGCAGTCCATTGCAGACATAAAGAATCAAGAATGAGAAGGAAAAATACACTGATCTACCCATTTCACTTTGTAGTATTTAACCACCGTGGCCTCTTTTATTTTTAATGTGTTATTTCTTTAATTGTGTTATTTTACTCTGACAGTATCACTGTCTACTCACAAGATATAAACTGAAAAGGGCAATGAACAAGGGAGATATCACAAAAGACACAGAAAAAGAGCCTGTGCTTCTCTTTCTAAACACACAGAGCCCCTCCCTATAGGAGAAAGGGCAGATTTAACTAGATTTTTTTTTAAGTGTAGGTGTTATCCTTTCATGTCCTCATTATCTGTCCCTTCAGAGTATATTACTTAACTCCCCTTTTCTACATGAATGTGTTCCTGCAAACAGGTCAGCCTGAGTTCTTATTTCTTCAGCTTTTGGTGTTAAGCAGCTTTTGTTAACTAGATTTTTAAAAACTTTTTCAAGAGCAGTGTACAGCTGTTTTTGTGTTGCAAAACAAGGTACTATATGTGGGAGGAGGGGAGCTTTCAATTATGTACGGGGCGAAAAAAGCTAGATATAAATTAAGCTAAAATGTCTACAAATTATTAAAACTTCCTTCTCAATTGAAGCAGCAAATGTTTATCAGAATGATGTAAGAAGCTTTTAAAAATACACAACCCCAACCATGCTGGGGTGGGAGAAGAATCAGTAATATGTTTATTTTCAAATTTCTTCTCAAGTACTAGTAACACCAATATGTTTTTACCCACTGTGGAAATTACTGAGTTTAAAAATATACCAAATTTCCAAAGCTAATAAGCTAATCAATAAAAGAGATCTAAATATTTAACTTAAAGAATAACAAGATGATTAAAATTAATATAAATGTACACAAAAATACTGTTCCCCTATATATAAGTAATTAACCTACAGAAAAGACAGGCTAGGATTGTTCTGTTTCATCTGATGGAACCTCAGTATTCCTCAGCCCTGTCTCACAACATGAAACCAGGTCAGTACTTCCCCTAAAAGCATCACATTCAGCAGCATCCGCCCAAAAGAATGTATGGGGGAAATGAGCATTAAAAGGAACAAATACAGTCTTTAAAAATGTCTTACTTCAAACTGGCCCGTGTTTCGGGCTTGATCCCCAGAGGGGGGTGTGCAGGAGGCAGCCCATCGGTGTTTCTCTCTTATTTTGATGTTTCTTATCTCTCAATCCTTCTCCCTTCCTCTCTCTAAAATCAATAAAAATACATATTTTTTAAAATTCTTACTTTAGGAAAAGTCACTACATTCATATCATATAAGTGTGAAGGTGAATGCTAAAGATGAACAATTAACTGAAAGAATATTCTGTATATCCTTGCATAAACACATTTTTATTTTATTTTTTTACTGCAGGTAACCAAAAGATCAGGTGAGTTTTTAAAACTGCAGTGTTACTTAGGAAACTGGGCAGATCACTATGTCCCTGGGGCAGGAATGTACTTTTAGGGGGAAAAATTACTTTGAGAAAAACATGCATGTTTAATAGAGCCAATGTTGGCAAAAAATAACTGAAGTGACTGCTTTAGATTTAGAACAAAGATGTTTAGAGTCACTCCTAAGGAGAGAAAACAGTCTTTATCTGCCAATGTCAAACTAATTTAAGGGATAGTTCACCTTCAAAAATCACTCATTTTTAAAACCCAATGGAAAATTCATTATTTTGCATAAAATAAGATTTATTGTGAA